TCATTTCTTTCTCGAGACCTTCTAACATGGACCTCTTGTGCTGTGAAAGGTCAGTCTTTAGCCGGAGAAAGAGTTACAGCTTAGGCCCAAGGGACATTTCATCCCATCTGGATCCCTGAGGCTCAAATGCTCATTCCAGACAACTTGGGAGAGGTGGAAAGAAATGAGGGTTGGCTCCACCCTCTTGAGACCCCTATTCCCACTCCTTCCCTCTTCCCACTGCCTCAGAACCAATCTAAATTTTCTCTGAGGAGATTAGCAGAGGCAAATCCCTTTTACTTTCTACATCATTGGCATCATCAAAGCCAAGTTAGGAGTGGGAAGGAGCAGAAGTGAGCCCAACTTACAAAGCACTATTTTGTCAGTAAAACTTGGGAAACTCCTACTGGCTACTTCTTAAGGATATTTTCTGGAACTTCAGCCCAATTAGACTTAAATTTGACCTTGACATTGACCTCTCTGTCTCTTCTATCCAACATGCTACTGGACACTTTTCTGGTACACTCAGACTCCAACTAGCCATGAGTTCTCATCTTGCTGGTTTCAGAGCCCTTCTCACAGAATAACCTTTCTCTCCCCACACTGCTCCCTCAACCCGGCTCCTAAAGCAGAAATTCTCCCAAGTGTGGTTCCAAAAAACCTTACTTTAGAACCACCCAAGAGGTTTATTTAAAAAAATATATACTCCTGAATCAGACCTATTGGAATAAAATCTCTGGGGGTGGGCCAAGGGACCTGTATTTTTAAACAAGCTTCTATGGTGATCCCTACCCATCTGAAGTGGTTTTGGAAGCAAATAATCTAAGGCTATCCTTTAGCTAGTATTAGTCATTGTGAAGACATACCATTCTGTCTATTCTTCATTTCTGTCCAACAAACACTTACTGAAGTCCTACTGTGTGCTAAGCACAAGCTTGACCCATGAGCCTTTCATTCACAAAGCTCTCAGGGAATGGCACAGAACTCTAAACTGCTTTCCAGGGGGAGGGTCATGTTATCAGACCCCTGATAGGTTTAGAATTTCTGTCCTTAGGATCTCTTTCATCCCCATCTCCACACCAGGAAAAGCCCCTACCCTTTTACCCCCAAAAGCAAGAGTCTTTCTATGCTTTGGGGCTATGGAGCCAACAGTTTGCATGTGCTCAAGTGTCTCCAAGGAATAACATGGTGGGGCTTGTGGAGAGGGGTTGCCAAGAGGCTTCTTAGAAACAACTGTAAACACACAGAAGACCAGACTGCCACCCTCCATCACTTCTGTCTGCTGAAAAAAGCTTGTCCTTTGTTCCAATGGGAGAGAAAAGTAGTCATATGGGTTGGGCAGGGGTGGCTGCTGTGGTGAGTAGGATGGGAAAGATTTCAAAGCATTCCTACATCAAACAGAACCTGGCAATCAGGACTCTCTGCTATATCTCCTGCTGAGAACCCAGCACTAGGACCCAGCAGGGCAAGTGGCCCTAGGGAATTCATGACTTGAACAAACAATAAAATCAGTAAGACCTTTCTCCCATACCCTGTAAACATCTAGGAAACAAACTTTAAAGTTACTCAAATTACCCTGTATTTCCCTGGCCAGTGTGGCTCAGTTGGTTGGAGTGTTGTCTCATGCATCAGAAGGTCGAAGGTCCCATTCCCAGTCAGGGCACACACCTGGGTTGAGGGTTTGATCCCAGTTTGGATAACTGATTGAGGTATTTCTCCCCTCCCCTCCCCTCCCCTTCCTTCCCCCCTCTCTCCCCACTCTCTCTCCCTCTCTCTTCTTTCCTTCCTCCCCCCTCTCTCTAAAAAAATAAAAATAAAACACAAACATAAAGCATACCCTATATTCACATCTTTCTACATACACTGCCCCCGATATTACCTTCCAATTTCTCCTTAGAAACTATCGACATAGATTCTTCTGGAGTAGATTTTTTTAAAAAATATATTTTTATTGATTTTTTACAGAGAGGAAGGGAGAGAGATAGAGAGTTAGAAACATCAATGAGAGAGAAACATCGATCAGCTGCCTCCTGCACACTCCTCACTGGAAATGCGCCCACAACCAAGGCACATGCCCTTGACCGAAATCGAACCCGGGACCTTTCAGTCCGCAGGCCGATGCTCTAGCCACTGAACCAAACCGGTCACAGCTGGAGTGGATTTATAATACAGCTAAGACCTGTGCCAGGAATGAATCCTTTGGTCCTTTGGTTTGAGAATATTTTCCCCCAGCCTAACCTTCCCCTAACAAAATATTCTAACATAGTAGGTCCTTGGCAAATGTTTGTTGAATTTGAGGCTGAAATGATCAGAGTCTTGACTGCTAACCTGAGCAAGTCAAGAACCAGTCCAGGAGTGGAGGTGACAATCCTGAACCCCAAAGTGTAGGATATGCCAAACTCTGGGAGATTAAAGGGGGTAGAGGGAAGGATGAACAGAATGTATCCCCCTGCATGCAATTAGCAGGGAGTCTGAACAAATAGTGAACAACCTCACCCACAGCTGTGAAAACAAAATAACTCAATTTTTAAAAATCTCATTCTGTTTTTAGGATACTCTTTTCTCTCAGCAAAAGCTCAATCTCCAAAATTTTGCTTCAGTGAAACAGTGTGGACAGCTCATTAGTGCATCAAAGTCAATGTTTAATTGTGATAGGAAGGACCCAACTTTTGCCCCAAGTTCTTAGCAATAAAAACCTGGTCCTTGTTGCAATGAAGGTTGCAAAGGCATCTAGGCTGCTTGTTTTTCCTGAAAGCTTAGAGTAAGGGTTCTACATTGGATAGATTTTGGTCAGACTTGCTGACAGTCAGGGTAGGTTTTCTGTCCTACATCCTGGGTTGCAGCCAGCAGCACATCTTCAGAGAGGTTTATAAGGCCACCCCTTCCTTTTTGACCCCCTGGGGCCTCTGGGCCTATGCGTTGTCATACCTTTTGAGAGAGGGCCTTATGGTTTTGAGATAGGAGTGTAAGAGCTGGGACATTATGTTGCTAAAAACTGGCTATTAAGAGTCTAGCCAGAGAACCCTCTATGAGCTCAGCAGCATGTGATTTGCTGGTACTTTCTCATTAAAGGTGCAGAGGGAGGACAGTGAAGAAATGCATCTGCATTTGAAGCCTGAGTTAGCTTTGAAGAGCTCTATCATTTCCTGACCAGGGTGCTAGAGAAAAGCTCTTACTTTTCTTTTTTTTTAAAAAACTAGTTAGGACCTTTGTCATTTGATGATTGGCTACAGGAGAAAACTGAAGTAGCAACATCAAGTTTGAAGGGATCAAGTTCAGCATAGGATTCTATTTCCCAATGAAATCCAAGCACTCCAGCAGTGCAGGAATCCCAGTGCTGGTTCCTCTCTATCTAACCCCTCTGCACCATGGCTCAACCCTCCCCCATCTTGGCTCAGATTCAGCCTCACCAGCAGTAACACTTTTGGTGTGGCTTTGTTTGTTCACAAGTTCACATCCCTGTAAGGAACTGGCTCCCTAGACTGTGGTGGCTCCTGTATTCCAGACTTTCTCAGAGTGCAATTTTAGGCAAGGGCTCAATGGCTCTTTCATGACAAGTAGATCAGTAAAACAATAATAAAACCTCCGTCACCATAACTCAGAGGCTGTAATAGATCAAGTGCTCAAGGGCACTTGAAAAGCCAAGAGTAGACTCTTTATTCACAGAGTTTTAGGAAACCACTCTCTTTCATTACTGCTGTGTGTAAATAACATCTATTGGTTTAATTTGTTATTTTCCTACAGCCACAAAGAGGGAAATATTAAAAGAAATATTCAAGGAAGTTGGAAAGTTTGTCAATGTAAATCGTGTCTTTCTAACCCTTCTACTCTTCATTTCCTGTGCCAACTGCGCTTTTATTTCCCGTCTCTCTACACTCAGTAAACAAAACCATATTATCAAGGGAAAGACGTGAGCCCATTAACATTGTAAGCCCTCAGATTTCACTCGCAAGAGACGACGCAGCACTTATCTGATGGAACAGAAGCTTTAATTGCTTCGAGGTACAAGCCTGTCCAAACCTTTGAGATCTGACCGGTCCCTGGGAAGCCTCTGCGCCCGTGAGCCAAGTGCCTGGGAGAGAGGGTGCCCAGCACCAGTGCGTGTGCCAACCTCTCAGACAGGAGCACAACCATCGCTCCATCACAAGGGCACATTCTTTATTTTGACAACCTAGTGTGTGTGTGGGGGGGAATCAGCCAAACTTCCGAACAAGGCAGAAACTTTACCTTCTGTCCGAATCAAAGCGTGTCACTCCAACAGTGGCCCTTAGGCCCCCACAAATGGAAGGAGTGAAGAAGCTGGAGGGACTGCGAAGTGACCTGAGAATCGAGTCTGACAGCGAGAATGCTGTGCCTCCCCAGCTATCCAGCACCTACAGCATAAAATTTAGTTCCGTAATTAAGTCGGAGAAAGGGGGCGGGGGACATTAAACTTCCGCTCCAGGTTTAGGAGAGAAGTAACATTAGTGCCAAGAAAACCGAAAACGCAGAGGTCTCAGGGAAACGAGGAAGAGGTGTACCTACCTTCCCTGGAGAAAGGCCAGGAGCAGTGCCCACCGGCCAAGCTCCGTGCTCCCTTTTAACCCCTTCCACACCGCGAGGCTCACAACCTGCACCTGAGCGACTAGCCACCCACGACCCAGGCAAGTTCTCGCCCCCTCCCTCCTCCCGCCCTCACCCGAGAGGCCCGTCCTGTCTGCCTCCCCCAGCCCTTCCCCTGGCCGCGCCCGGGCCGCGCGGCTCCACCCCCCGCGGGGGGCCACTGGGTGGCGGCCTCCCGCAGGTTCGGCAAAGTTGGCGCTGGGCTAGGCGCGTGGAGCCCGGGCCGTGCGGGGCAGGCGCCCATTGGCCGGCCGGCGCCACGTGGCCACCCCGGCCGCTATATTAGGCCACTATGGACCCCGGGCTCGCTCGCCATGGCTTCGCGAGGGCATCTCGGGTAGAGAGGAGAGGAGGAGCGGCGCAGAGCCCAGCCCGGGACCGCGCGCTCAGGTGGGAGGGCCGGGACCATGAGCTCCTACCTGGAGTACGTGTCGTGCGGCGGCGCCCGGGGCGGCGGCGACCTGCTCAGCTTCGCGCCCAAGTTCCGCCGCGCCGATGCCCGGCCGGTGGCCCTGCAGCCTGCCTTCCCCCTGGGCAGCGGCGACGGCGCTTTCGTCAGTTGCCTGCCCCTGGCCGCTGCCCGCCCCGCGCCTTCGCCGCCAGCCACCCCCGCGCCGGCCCCCGCCGCCCCGCCGTACGCGCCGGGCACCCTGGAGGCTGCCTACGAGCCGGGCGCCGCACCTGCCGCGGCGGGGGCCGCCGACTACGCCTTCCTGGGGCCCGGGCCCGCCTACGACTTCCCGTGCGCGCTCGGGCGGCCGGCCGACGACGGCGGGGCGCACGTCCACTACGCCACCTCGGCCGTGTTCTCGGGCGGCAGCTCCTTGCTTCTCAGCGGCCAGGTGGACTACGCGGCCTTCGGCGAGCCCGGCCCCTTCCCGGCAGGTCTCAAAGAGCCCGCCGACGGCCTCTCCGGGGCCTTCCAGACCGCGTCCCCGGCCCCCGGCGCCTACCCCAAGTCCGCCTCCCCCGCGTCCGGCCTCCCCGCCGCTCTCAGCACCTTCGAGTGGATGAAAGTGAAGAGGAACGCCCCCAAGAAAAGTGAGTACTCGAGTCTTGGACGGACGCGCCTGGGTTGGGGACAGAGCCCCCTCCGCGGAATTGCGCTAGGAGCACTTGCAGCTGTTCCTCTAGTCGGCGGGTTGGGGTCTGGGGAGGAAACGCGTTCCCAGGTGTTGTTAAAGCAGGAGAAGCCTAATGAGCGTGCTCCGGCCACACGCTCGCAAAGTGTGCCAGGCGTGGAGGAAAGTGCAGGACGGGGCTCGCTCCATGGAGCATTCCCCAGGCACAGCTCTGTCCGCAGAGACCCGGGAAGGCTGCGCTGTGACTTGACTCTAACTGTACGTTCTAACTGTAGCCCTCCTGCTCCCCGGTGTTGGGTCTCCCTGCCCTCTCGCCCCTGCTGACGATCTGTCTTCATGTTACAGGCAAACTCGCTGAGTATGGAGCCGCTAGCCCCTCCAGCGCGATCCGCACGAATTTCAGCACCAAGCAATTGACAGAACTGGAGAAGGAGTTTCATTTCAATAAGTACTTAACTCGAGCCCGACGCATCGAGATAGCCAACTCCTTGCAGCTGAATGACACCCAAGTCAAAATCTGGTTCCAGAACCGCAGGATGAAACAGAAGAAAAGAGAAAGAGAAGGGCTTTTGCCCTCGGCCACCTCTGTGGCTTCCCTCCAACTTACCTTCTCAGGCAAGAACCTAGGGAGCCCTTCTCAGGTCCAAGAACCCTCATGAGATTTAGTCTTGAGGCTGAGGAAACTTGGCCTGCAGGAGTCATAGGCCAGCCCACCCCTGTCTAGACTTAGTAGCTCAGTTTGGGGTGGAAGTGGGCCTGTGCAGAAAGAGAGGTTTCACTTGGGAAAGGAAGTATCTTAGTCGAGTTCTGAGTTCCAGGCTGTGGGTGTACAGATACTAATTGGAGGTCTCTTCAGCCACTCATATGTGTTTTATCTGTGTCTTATCAGGGAGAAGGTGCCTAGCTGCCAGCCCAACCCTGCTGCTATGTTGCCTTAGTCAGATGCAATTCCTGGGTGCAGAGTGCAGTGCAGTAGTTGCAGAGCTCTAGCAACCCCCTGATGTGCTCCAAAGAGCGTCTACCCAAAGTTTTTCTGGTTTTAATTTAAAGGACAAGGCTACCTGTATTCAGCTTCTTGAGATGACCAAAGCTAGTTAGAGCTTCCCTGATGTAGCTAAGCTGCTTCAATGATGATCTTCACATTTGCACTCCAGTTTCGTTTTTCTTTAAGAACCAGTTTCTACCTCTCCATGTGCCTGAGTGAAGATACAATCGCTGTTTAGTTAGTAGCTGAACAAAGCCACAAGGTGGGTAAAGATTAGAACCTGAACTAAACCTTGATTCCAGTTACTCAAACTTGAATGTAAATATATACAGTATGTATATTTTTAAAAAGGTTTGCTTGAAATGAACATATATGACATTTAATGTCATAGCATGTAAAAGGTTTGAACTGTTTTATAATAAAAATTACAGAACATACTACTCTCTGCTTTTCCTTACTCTCATTTTTATTTTCTTTCAAGTTGATTCGGTTTCTTCTATTTGGAATTTCTTGATTCTGCTATGGAAATTTGTTTAGGTTGATAACTTTAAAAAATAACACTTCTTAAAGGTTGGATACACAAACAAGTTTGGGATAATTATCTGAACAGGTTAAGGGAGGAAAAAAAAAAACTACTCTGCCAAATATCAACTAACCTAGGAATTCCTTACCTTAAGTGCCCTAGTTTTATGGCAGATATGGAGACTGCACATTAACCTGTAGATTAGGTGCTCCCTGTGGGAATGTTATAAAGCCAAGGAGACACTGCAGGGAGTTGCTGTATTTTTGTCTCCTGGTCTTACAAAAGGAAGAGGAAAGGTGACCTGAAGACTTTGCTAGTTGATTAGTGTACTCAGCTGCTCATCAAAAGTTCTCAGAGTCGAAATTCCTATTTCCAAAGTCAAGTATTTTAAAGAGGCTTGGAGACGCCAGTAGTCAGAGCTTTCCACTTTTGTAACCCAGCCTGAGCATCTGGCCTTACAGGAGATAGCACAGAGGTGCTTTCTGTTTTTGAAATTAAGTACTTTCAAATGAAGTCATAGAAAGAAGTACAAGCAGAGTTTGAAACTTGGCATGAGGGTATGTGGTTAAAAAAACACACACGAAAACACACACACACAAAAACACACACACACAAAACACACACACACACACACACTCTCTCTAACCTTATTTCCATCCAGTGCCCAATCCTGAAGGCACCTGTAGTTGACCAAGTTTTTATGTAACCTTACAGAAATATTATTTGAAAAAAATGTAATTTTAATACACAAAATCCAGTAGATACTTGGGACAATTGTTAGGGCAGGTCATTTTCCTCACTATATAGATAGCTGTAGCTGTATCTTTAAGTTCTTTGTATAATTCAACTGAAAGGCTTAAAGCCCCAAATAATCCAGATAAGAACCTAAGCTCTTCTTTTTAGCTAGGATATCTAGATTCTTAGGGTAGTGCCTCAAATCCAATAATTCAGAGAACTAATGATTGTAGAGGATTACTTTCCTTATAAAACAGCAATGTGATTAATTGTCTTAGAATATTGAAATTATAATGAAATTCCTGTCCTTTGTACTCTTTCACAGTCTAATGGAGTTGAAGAAATAAGATTGTCAGCTCTAACAAACTCAGCTGATAAGCGGGAAAAGATATCACTTAAAAAAGCAGGTCTGTCAATATTATGCTTATGTTTTGCCATCTGCCCTACACTAACTTGATGCGAATCAGATCTTGTTTGAAACAACATCCTCCCCTCTGAGCTCTGTAGCTGTGTGAAAGGACTTGTTAAAGGAGTTGTGATCAGCTTGCTTACAGCCACCTCCGGTTTCCCCTGCAGTGGTCTTTGACAAGACAATGTTTCCTTTTTGATAAGCCTTCAAATGTACACCTAAACAAAAGAGTACCAAGAGGCTTGGTCATTTCCTTAATCTACTGCCCTTTTCTTTGAGAAAATAAAGCTTTTTTTTTTTTTTTTTTTTTTTTTAGCTACTACTGGCACTTAACCCTGATGGATGTCTCCCTTGATGAAGGTGGCTATTTTGACATATGTATAATGCTCTTCTATGAATCAGGCCAATATTAGCTATTTTTTGACCAACCCGAGGGATCTTTAAAAGCTTTCTTAATGCAGATCACTAAATAGTGATATTCAGTATTAGAGAGAATTCTGGCTGAAGATCGGGACAAGCTAGATGACCTCTGGAGGTCCCTTTCTTTTTTTTATTCTAAAGTAAAATGTTCCTTTAAAAAAATTTTATCTTTATTGCTGAAAGTATTACAGATGCCCCCTTTTCCACCCATATTGACCCCCTCCACCCTGCTCCTGTTCCCTCCCCAGGCCTTCTCTGCACTATATATATTGTCTGTCCATGGGTTATGCATATATGCATATAACTTCATTGCTTAATCTCTTCCTGCGCCTCCCCCTTCCCTCTGAAATATGTCAGTCTGTTGAATGCTTTAATGTCTCTAGATCTTTTTTGTTTATTTTGTTCATTAGGTTCCACATATAAGTGAGGTCATGTGATATTGTCTTTCTCTGACTGGCTTATTTCGCTTAGCATAATATTCTCCAGGTCCTGGAGGTTCCTTTCAGCATGAAAATGCTACAGAAACAATTCAATGACTTCTACATAGTTTATGTTAGGCCTATCATTGGAAGAAAGAGAATTCAGTTCTAAGAAAGCAAATACCTTCTCCAGAATGAGGAGACTGTGTTTATATAGGAAAAGTGGATTTTAGACATTATCAAATACATCTCATCGGTGGAGGTAACTAGCTCATGTGGATTATTTATAGAACAGTCCCCTTCTCATTATTCAGAACCTTGTGTTATTTTGCGTCAGATCTTCCATGAAGTGTGATGGTTATTACTCAAATTGGGCAACTGCAAAAACAATCCCATTTCTACTTAACAAGATTTCAAATTAAACATGCTAATTCATCCTTCAGTGACCCATTACAGGAATGAATATACAACGGACAATCTGGCTGTTGTATAATTAACTATTCAATGTTCGTTTCCACAGAATGACCATGTGTCTATTTTTCTGGATTCAGGATAGTTGGGAGTGAGGAAAAAGAAACAAAGCATTTAATAGCACATAAAACTTCCATTGCTTGAGTACTAGCAAATGAAGGTCTTGCTGATGTAAAATCCTAAAGCAATGTCACCTAGATGCTCAAAAGATTAATTGTATGCAATTTATTCTGCCTCAATCTCATATATGGCTAGGCCCAAGACCAGAAGAGGTTATGTCCGATTAGCATGTCATTAGAAAGGAGGGGCAGGGGCAGGAGAGTTGCATTAGCTCTGATGTTCTTAATTATGTCTTATGGCCAAACAAATGCTCTATATTTGCTGAATATTGAATTTGAAAACCTCAGCACCTAATCAGTTTCAGAGAGATGTTTAGTCTGACCACAGACCTCTCAACAAGAAAAATGCCCATTGTTAAAACTTTATTTGTGGTTTTAAAGTGAAACC